ATGTAACCAACTAAGCTAAATCCCCAAAAAGGGACGCCCCTACTAGGAGGCTAGTAGAAGGGCAGATATAGCTAAGGTAATTTTCCTGTGACATCTGAAATCTCGGGCTCCCGCTCGTTACATAAGCACATTACGATACTTTTCGACGCAGCTAGACCTCTCAAGGCGGTGGTAAAGAAGGGGCAGTAAAAGCCTAAGTGATAATTAATGGGACGCAGATGTGATAAATCATAAAACAGCAGTTGTTTACCAGCCGGCGCGGAATGGGGCTAGCCGTTTCCTACCAGAATGTCACGGATAGGAAAAAGGCAAATGCCGTAAAGCAGAGATATCCTTTGAACCTGATCTCTGACACTGTCATAGTCTTGGGCTGTCGGCCCAGACTGTAGATAGTTGGCCTTGAGGCCTGAGGCATCCTCACGATGGCTGGTGACTCACTGGTGAGATATTTTGTCGGAACTCCGCGGCTATTACTTAGTCACCGCACCTTGTAGATTACATAAGATTACATAAGCCTGGGTATATATACCCGTCAAGGTAAACTATGTACTTCTGACCGAATACAAGCATCTCACTGCCTCTGAACAGGTATCCTGTTGTTTCCGTGATTGATTGACACGCCAAAACGATCAACACTGCCGCATTCTAACTAATCCTAGCAGACCCAGAATCCCCTAACTACGTACAGAAATAGGAACGCCGTCGCAAATTAAACTTAGCCAGGGTTGGTGCTATACAGAACTGCAAGTCCCACATTGACATCTGAGTACTGATTACTGAGTAGAGACCTGTCAAGTAGCCTGCATTTTCCCCAGGGCAGCAATTATGCTTTGATACTTCAAATCGGCTGCAGGAGAGATGATTGACAGTTAGAAAAACGTGCCGACTCTTGATTCGACGCCATGTGATAGCGGCAGCCTTGTTCTTTTTTGACCGACTAGCCAGTCGAACTGTGAATCCGGCCGGGGCAAGGCGCAGAGCGCAACCTCATCCTGAAGCTTAATGGCATTTCTCCGCCTCTTATGGCGACAACCAAGCCAACCTCCACATCGCTATTCAAATCACCCCCATGGATCCTCTCAGCATCACTGCGAGCATCATTGCTATTCTGCAGCTCACGAGCAAGGTGATCGAGTATCTAGGTGATGTCAAAGATGCCCCCAAAGAGCGTGCCCGTCTGGTCACCGAAGCCTCACACATTAACGGCCTCTTGTTGGATTTGGCGTCCCATCTCGCTGAAGGACACTTAAAAGAACTCTGGTACAATACGATCAAGTCGCTAGCTGCTCCAAATGGCGCACTTGATCAGTATAAGGCCGATCTGGAAAAATTTCAGCGTAAGGTTGTTGCCAGCGGAGCAGGGAAGGTCATGCATTCACTCGTTTGGAAATTCAACAAAGCAGAAGTCGATGGCATGCTCTCAAGGATGGAACGGCTGAAAAGCCTCATCCTGATTGCCCTGGGGATGGACCACCAGTAAGGCCATCTACCCACGTTCTTTACAGAAATTCGTTCGCCTGACATATCTTAGCAAACTATCTCAAGCCATGAACAACGATATCAAAGACATCAATACACAAGTTCACGCAGTTCGACACAGCCAACAACATCAACGTCATCAAACCATCGCTGGATGGATATCTCCCTCTGACTTCCCCGCCCAGCAGTCAGACTTCATAGGCAGAATTGAAGAGGGCACTGGTCAGTGGTTCCTTGATTCAAGCGAGTATGCAACCTGGCTGCGTACACCGAAGTCTACGTTGTTCTGTCCGGGTATCCCAGGCGCCGGCAAGACCATGCTAGCGGCGATCACGATCGACCGTCTTTCACGGACCGAAGCCAGCGACGACATCGGATTAGCTTACATCTACTGTAACTACAAATCAGAGGCGAGTGTTGATGTCTCAGCCTTATTAGCTGCCCTTCTCCAACAACTCGTCCAGTCACGGCCTACTATCGATGAACCGATCTCAAGTCTATACGAGAAGCATACCCGTCGTGGTACCAGGCCATCTCTCCAGGAGATATCTACAGCTCTGCAGGTAACGCTAAAGAATTTTTCCAGCGTTTATATTGTTGTCGACGCGCTGGACGAGTGTCCAAATAAAGATGGCACGCGCAACCATCTCCTTACCAAACTTAAGGATACTCAACAAGAAGCAGATTTGCGGCTTATGGTTACATCTCGCTTTATCCCAGATATAGAAGCGAAGCTCGAGTCGACACCAATACTAGAAATTCGAGCAAGAGGTGCCGATGTGAAACGATTCGTCAGAGGCCAGATATGCCGACTACCCAACTGCATTCAGCGCGACCATCAATTGCAGAGTATCGTAGAGGACAAGGTTATAGAAGCAGTAGACGGCATGTAAGTGAATTGATTATCTTACCGAGCACCCATGCTTATAACCTTGTAAGGTTCCTTCTTGCTCGTCTACATGTAGATTCGCTTCTCGACAAGCGAACTAGAGCCAAGGTACAAGCTACGCTAAAAACTCTTCCTAGAGGCCCAGAAGCTCTTGGTGAGGCCTATAAGGACGGGGTCCAGAGGATAGGAACTCAGCTGCCTGAAGACACCGCGGTCGCAGTTACGGTTCTCTCTTGGATCACGTATGCCCAGCGTCTACTAACCGTGAACGAAGTCTGTCATGCTCTGGCAATCAAGAACGGTAATCGTGAACTGGACCGCGATAACATTCCGGACATTGACGATGTCATTTCTGTGTGTGCCGGCTTAGTCATCGTGGATAAGGAAAGCAACATCGTCCGCCTCGTTCACTATACCACGCAGGAATACTTTGAGCAGATCCGCGAGATATGGAACCCAACTGCTCAACAGGAGATTGCGTCTGCTTGTCTGACTTACCTCTCGTTTCATGTATTTCGTGACGGCAGCTGTTCTAGCGACGACGATTTAGACAGTAGGCTAAAAGAGTATCCACTCTTAGACTATGCTGCTCGATACTGGGGTTATCATATAAGGAGTGTTCAGGAAGGAGTATCAGAGGTAGCATACCGCTTCCTCCAGAACAACGGCTTCTTATCCTCCGCCACTCAAGCAGTGTCGATTCCCAAGTACCGGTATCCCGGATTTAGCCAAAGATTTCCAAAACATACCACCGGGTTGCACTTGTCGGCAAGGTTCGGGTTAGTCCAGCTATTGATGATAGCGCTTCTTCATTCAGAATATAATATTGCAGCCAGACCCGACCTGAGCGACAGCTATGGCCGGACGCCGCTATCGTATGCGGCAAAGGGAGGACACGAAACCGTAGTCCGGCTACTGGTCGAGCGGGACGACGTCGCGACGGGCTCGAAGGACAAGGACGGCCGGACGCCGCTGTCGTGGGCGGCAGAGCGAGGATACGAAGCGATAGTCCAGCTACTGGTCGAGCAGAATGACGTCGCGGCGGACTCGAAGGACAAGGATGGCCGGACGCCGCTGTCGTGGGCGGCAGAGCAAGGATACGAAGGGATAGTCCGGCTGCTAGTCGATCGGGACGACGTCGCGGCCGACTTAAAGGATAGGCTCGGTCAGACGCCGCTATCGTGGGCGG